AAGAGCAGCAAGAGTAGTCCTCAGTGTGTCGTGCCACTCACGGGGTGCCTGGCGGAGACCGTAGACTGGCCGCCGGAGGCTCCACTGGGTACCTGCAGGGAACGACCCAGTGAAGCCAGGTGGGCGGCGCAGCCAGATCTCCTCGTGCAGGCTGCCCTGTAGGAAAGCAGTGCTGAAGTCAAGAGAGTGGAGCTCGTAGTCACGCTGAGCGGCGACGTGCAGCAGAACCCGAAGAGTGGTCATCTTCGGGGTCGGGGAGAAGGTCTGAAAGAAGTCAACTCCCTCTCGCTGACTGAAGCCTCGTGCAACGTAACGCGCCTTGAAGACAGGCGGAGAACCCGGCGGCCGCTTCACCCTGAAAATCCACATGCCACTGACGATGTTCGCCCCAGGCGGGGGAACCTCGTCGACGTAGGTGCCTGTGGACTTCCAGGAAGCCATCTCTGCGTCCATGGCTGACTGCCACTGAGAGGAGTAGGGACCCTCTATCGCCTCTGCGTAAGAGCGCGGGGTCGGGATGTCTAGTGCATCCGGGTCTCCCTCAGGGGCAATCAGCATGGACACGAGATGAGGTAAAGCAGCAGCAAAGCACTCAAACTCCTCCTGTCTGTCCTAAAGGACGTCCGTGCCAAGAGCACACTCACCCCCGACGGACAGAGGACAGACAGACTCAGACTCAGCAATAAGGCTAGCGGCGTAGTCTAGACGACAGGCGACAGCAAAGTCAACAAGCTCAGCAACTAGAGCAGACGCAGCAGTGGACTCAAAGGAAGGGTCAGTGACAACAGTAGCGAGAAGACGCGTGACAGTAGGACTGGCAGCACGAGCAAGGTCTGACGGCGGTTCAGCAACGTCAGGAAGAGAGGACGCAGGAGGAGACGGCAGAGGGACACGCTGAGGAGCAGTGGAAGGACGCAGAGTCATATAGTGTGTGCCAAGTACAGGAGGAGGACGCTGACGCGGAGCACGATGACCAGTGCGGACAGCACCGACAGACGACTCTGGACGAGACTCAGGCAACTCAGGACGAGACTCAGGCGACGCAGGACGAGACTCACGCTCACGACGCTCCGTAAGACCTCTAGTCGGCCCAGCGTAAGGAGAAGGACCAGGCAGTGGAGAGGCAAGCGGTAACTGTGACTGCGACTGGACAGGTGGTGGACTCAGTAGGGGAGGAGAAGGACCAGTGGAGGGCGGGAGGCCAAGAACCTGCTGAAGGAGCGGAACGTAGTACGGTCGCGGCCGCTCAGCATCTCCTGAACCAGCAGAGACAGCACAAGCACCCTCAGCCCCAGGGTCTCCAGTGACAACTCCCGCAGCACCAGCAGCACCTCCAGCACCAGCAGCACCTCCAGCAGCACCAGCAGCACCTCCAGCACCAGCAGCGCCTCCAGTAGCTCCAGCACCAGCAGCACCTCCAGCACCAGCAGTACTACCAGCAGCACCACCAGCAGCTCCTGCACCAGCAGCACCAGCACCAGCAGCAGCTCCAACTCCAGGGTCCTCAGCACCAGCAGCAGCTCCAACTCCAGGGTCCAAAGCACCAGCAGTGCCACTCCGGAGACTGCAGCGCCGAGCGTACCACTCTCGGAGCCGCTGGGGAGAGGGCGGCTCCCGCCTAGGCGGGGAACCACGAGCACCAGCTCCAGCATCATCCCTAGCCCCAGAAGCGCCCCTCCTGAGGCTGCAGTACCGCGAGTACCACTCACGCAGCTGCTGTGAAGAGGGAGCGCCTCCAGGCGCCGCACGGTCAGTAGCAGCACCCCCAGGCTCAGTACCCTCAGACGTAGCACTCTCAGGCTCACCACCCCCAGACTCAGCAACCTGAGGCTCAGCATCCCCAGGCTCCGCACCCCCAGGCTCCGTACCCGCAGGCTCAGCACCCCCAGGCTCCGCACGCTCAGGCTCAGCACCCCCAAGCTCCGCACCCCCAGGCTCCCCACGCTCAGGCTCAGCACCCCTAGCAGGACGTGAGTCGACAGCTACCTCGACAGGCTCAACCGGGTCTACCTGGGACACACCTGAGGGAGCGGCACCCTGAGGGGGGAGGGGGTCTACCACAGCAGCACTTGGTGCGAGGAAGAGAGGCGGGGGGGGGGAGCGGGGCAGTGCGGTAGGGGAAGAGGCGGTAGTAGGGGACCGACTCGTCGAAAGTGACGTCCTGAGAGGGCAGGACACGGCGCGAGGTGGTGTGGTAAAACTGCCAACCAGACGCGTCCGGGACAAAGCCAAGGAAGACACAAGGAACAGCGCGGGAGGAGAGCTTGTCCGCGGACGTATCGCGGACAAAAGCACGAGATCCCCAGACCCGGAACACCGACGCATCGCCAACCTCTCCCGTCCAACGCAGTGTCGGCGAAGTCTCCGGAACGGAGACACGGGGCCAGAGGTTGAGCTGATGCGCAGCGTATCGGACCACAAACGGCCACAGAAAGTGGGGGGCAGCCGCATGGATCAAGGAGGTACGAGCGACCTCCATGACCAAGCCAATGCGGCGCTCAGCAACCCCATTCTGCTGTGGAGAGGCCGGAAGCGTGAACGACTGCTCAATGCCCTCCCCCTGACAGAAGGCCCTCAAGAGGTCGGAGGAAAACTCCCCACCTCTGTCAGAGTGCAGACGCAGAACAGGAAAGTCCAAGTGGAACCTCTCGCTGAGCTGGAGACGGGCAGCGCGGATCCAAGGGATCAAAACATCAGGGACTTCACCCTTGGTGCGCAAGGGGAAGACCGTGGTGTAGCGCGAGTAGTCGTCAACAACTATCAAGAAGTACCTCTCGTGACCCTGTCCACGGACGCGGGCTGGGCCCCACACGTCCATGTGGAGGGTCTGCAGGGGATGGTGGGCCCTTGACCTCAATAGCAGAGTGGATGTAAAATGCTTGAGATGATTAAAACATGCAAGTACAAGGAATATAAATATGAGTACAGGGGAATTCGAAACGGCCTAGCTAGCCATGTACTCTAAGGGGTACACTCCCTTATTAAAGCGAAATCCAACCGTGCGACTCCAGACAGTTACGAAACTGTTCGGGCAGAATCCTCGCCACTGCTGCTGCCTAGTGCTGTCTGCCCAACGGTCCAGATGCCTTCGTAATCGTACGACCCTTTGCGTCACTTCCATCCTTTCGTCTTCATTCTCGGTATTGCGTGCTTCGATCGCTGCGGTAAGGAGTGCATAGTGGTGCTTCAATAATTACTATTCATAACAGTCGAGGCGAGTGTCGCGAGCAAGTAACGTTCCACTGTTGGGTACCGATGGCGGGAATGGTTGTGTACGCGGTAAGCAGGGGCGCGAAGTAAGGAAAATGAGATTTCTTTACACTACGACAAAAGTTGGGGTGAGTGAAGTAAGGCACAAATAGGTGTAGAACCAGCATTTCCCTAGGGGAAAATATGCCATTCGTAACCAACATGGGACTCGATAACATGTCTGGTAAAAAAAAAAAGGATATGGTCACTGCAGAGGGTGTTTTCACGCGACTGATAAAACGTTTCACGTAATCAGTCACTATAAACTGGTAAAAAAAAACGCGAATGGTTATAGATGAAACTCCCGCCAAAACAAATTGAAACCCAAAAAGAACCTGGATGCAGTTTCGGATGAATCAACCCTAAACACGTAACTCACCAGGTGTTTAGGGTTGATCCGTTCCCAAACCGCATCCATTTCCGATTGGGTTTTAGTTTTTTTGAAGTTAGCAGATTGGTTCAGCGCGAGCGGGAATTTTGTTGAGTTTCAAGTTTTTTTGGCAGGAGTTACATGTGTGACAATTCGCGTGATTTTTTACCTGTTGTTACTTACTGAATCCGTGACCCCACTTACCAAACCCGTCAGAACACCCGATACAGTTACCGTATGCGTTTTTTGTTTACCATTCACGTTATGAGTCCTAAGTTGGTTACTTATGGCATATTATCCCTTTCCCTAGCACTGGGTGTAGAACCTTGACGCAGAGCACTGCCTTCAGATGTTTCCTCACATAGACGCTGGCTCTCTTTGGACGCGCAGTGGAGCTCTCTTTGCGCAAAAGCCTCCGTTCCGCGGAACACTTCCTTCACCTTCTGTACTAGGGTAACACGGGGCCACCCAGCACGTCTGTCAATGCTCACGAGTCACGACGGTAGTAGGCCCCATCATCCGCGAGTCTGCTCTGCGGCGGTAAGCCGTGCGGCCGGTAATATCCGCCGCCGCCATAGGCCAGGTTTTCTCGCTCGCCGCACTTGAAAGGCGAGAGGCTTCAACACATTACGGTCTTCCTTCGCTGCATCCACTACTAGTGGAACTGTGCTTGAAAGTCTACATTCTCGGAACAGTGCTTTGTTTTTCCAGCCAAACGACAACGTTCACTGCTTGCAAATCGTCGTTCCCCGTGTGCAATATCGCCGCAATCTTTTTCGATTGTGTGGTTGTTGGATGACGGACGGTCGTAGGGCATTTCAGCCATTCAGGCTGACGCGAAATCGGATTAAGTGGCTCGTGATCAAGCACGGTGATAGGGTAATCCACGCAGCCAACAGCGTCGCATGTGCATGTGGTCTTCCGCGGAGATATCACAGCTGTGACGCTAGTACCCGACAATGGTGACCGTAGTGGGGGATGCGTCGCTAGTGCATGTCGTGTACTGCCCTGCGCGCGACTCTTCTTTCAAAAGAAGGGAGTGCGGTAAGGCGCATCACCCGTCCGCGCGGCATTCCTCTCGTCGGTAGTCAGGTGGATCTTGACTTTGCGGGCAAACTCGCGTACGACAATGCATGTTAGGTCTCATGAGCAGTTTTGCGGCGCATGGATTGAATCCCGCAGAATAGAGCCCTTGTCGCACCCTCTGTGTGGCCCACCTGCAACGCAGCCCCGTCCGCGCGCTCGCAGCTCCCATTCCTCGCATCCGCGGGGGCGCAGCTCCCTTTTCTCCCCCTCCCCACCTCCCATTCCTCCCTCTCCCCTTCTCTCGACTCAACCCTTCACGACCTCTTGCGATTGAAGCCGCATCATTCGCCTCACCATGATAGAACGGCGCGTTATCCAGCCATTCAAGGGGGAAGATCCTCCGCTTTCTCCCTTCCCGCCCTCTCCCCCTCCTTGGCCGATCCCGGGAGGGGGGCCGAGGGGGGGAGTGGATGGGATCCCCTCAGCTCGAGCTGAGGGGAGTGGAGGAGGACGGTCAGTATCGTCCGTCTCACGGTACATTAGCCGCTCGCCTCTCGCCACCACTCATCGCCGCTCCTTCCACTCCTCTCGTGACACCTCAACCACGACTGAGCCCTCGGAGGCTCATCGTCTCTCATCGGCGCATCACCTCTGCCAGCACTGCTGCTGCCGGTGCTTCCAGCCCTTCTCATCACCATGGCTTCGCACGGCGTGCCTGTGACGCGGAGCTTGGGCCTCCTTCTCGCTGCACTGGCTGCTCTCATGCTCTCAGGTATGCGCTCATGCTCTTTCTGCTATCAGGTTTCCCCCCCTTTCCCCGTTCCCCCTTTCCCCCTCTTCCCCCTTTTTCCCAATACTGCCGTTCGCCTGCCTGACTAACACCCGCTGAAGTCATCCACCTCCTACCCGGGAGCCCTGCCCTCCTTCCCTTCTCATCCCATTCTCCCTCCGTTCTTCCCCTTCCCTTCCCCCCCCCTCCCCCACCCCGCCTTCCCCGCCCCTCTCCCCCATGCGCGCTCAGCCTGTGCGCCCAGGGCTGCTGCTGTTCGCCTGCCACCTCCAAGCAGCGCCGCCGACCGTAAGTCACCCGCCCACTGAGATTCTTGGAGCCCAAGGTTCCAAATTTGCCCGCCTTAGCACTCCTACTCACCACTCACTCACCGCTCACCACTCACCGCTCACCACTCACCGCTGCTTTTATTCAACCTGCCCATCCATGCTCCATTCACTCGGCCTTCCTCCAGTCTTGTCTTGAACCATCTTAGGTTGTATCACTCCCACCTCTCTTTGCTCTCCACGTGTCCATGCTCCGTCTCACCTCGCTTAATGTCTCCTCGTTTTCCCTCTCCTCATCCCTTCCTTTCCTCTCTTTTCCTCTCTGTCTATTCCCTCCTGGGTCCTCTCTTTATCTCTGCCACTTTCTCTCTTTCCCTCTGCCAGACTCGTGTGTGCAGAGGAACTGCGGCGCCAATGCGATTTGCGTCAAGGACAGTGCTGGAGTGGCGACCTGCGTGTGCAACGCTGGCTTCGTGCTGCAGGCCGACAAGATTACATGCACTGGTGCGTATATGCTGATGTGTGATTATGCGAATACACACAATGGTTGGTGCTGGTGTGTGATAACCTCGTTCCCGGACTTGTGAGAGTCACTTCAAGAAAAGGCTTCCTACTCCCCCTCACGACTCTTCTACATTCCACATTGTACACACATGCAGGAAAATGCTTCCTGCTCGTTCCTTATGGCTTGCGCTCCCTCCCCACTCACTATCATGCCTTTCTACCCTTCCCTTGGCAGACACGTGTGTGCTCAAAAAGTGTGGTGCTAATGCCAAGTGCGTGAAGAGCGCTGCAGGAGTGGCGTCTTGCGTGTGTGACAATGGCTTCGTGCTGCAGCCTGATAACGTCACATGCTCTGGTATGTGCCATGTGCCCTTGTAGGCGATGCCTTGTGTGTGCGACGTTGGCTTTGCTCTGCAGCCCGACGGTTCTACATGCACTGGTGCGTGCTGTGCTGTGAAACACAGGCTGTGCAAGGGTGTGTGCGTTGAAATTTTCAGATTAGTTGTATGTATAGTCTCACTAGCTCTCTATTCTCTCTGCATCTCCCTCTCTCCTTCCCTCCCCTCTGTCCTTCCCTCCCCTCTCTCCTTCTTTCCGCTCTTGCATTCTCTCCCTCCCTCCCTCCTACCCCCTCCCATTCTCATCTGCCTTGCTTTCGTGCCATACTCTTCCAATCACTTCTCTCCATGCCACCTTTCAGACACCTGCGTCATCAAGAAGTGTGATGCCAATGCTGCTTGTGTGAAGGACGCTCAAGGCGTTGCATCCTGTGCTTGCAACACGGGCTTCCAGATGCTGGAAGGCGCTTGCACTGGTACGCATTATTTTCCTCATCATTCGCAGTATATCTCTCCCTCTCCCCCTCCTCACACCTTTCCTCCCTCCTTCCCTCTCTCCTTCACTTCCCTGCTTTTTTCTATCGCAGTTTCCGCTTGCCCTTTTCCCTCGCTTGGCCTCTTTCCCCTCAATCCTCCCCATACTCCTTGTGTGCACGTCCGTACTCACACTTGTGCTCATTTCTCTCTTCCTGTTCACATCCCTTCTTTCTACCACACCATCCCCGCCCATTTCCAACACCCCTCACTCCTCCCCTCTCCCATTTCTCCTCTCAGACACCTGCGAGATCAAGAACTGTGTGAGGGGCCGGTGCATCAAGGACGGATCTGGAGCGGCGTCCTGTGAATGTAGCGCTGGCTACGTGCTGCAGGCGGATGGCAGGACGTGCAAAGGTATGTGCTGAAATGAAACTGTTGTGTGCTACTCTATGTGACTATGTGCGCTACTCTGTGTGCTGCTGTGGTTCCTCCTCATTTCACGTCCCCTCTACACCATCCCCGCCCATTTCCTCCACTCCTCACTCCTTCCCTCTCCCATCCCTCATCCCCTCTCCCATCACGCAGACACCTGCGAGATCAAGAACTGTGTGAATGGCGGGTGCATCCAGGACGCAGTTGGAGTGGCCACCTGCGTGTGTCAAGATAACTTTGCGCTGCTGGCGGATGGCAGGACGTGCGCTTGTAAGTGCTGAACCTGCTGTGCGCTGCTCCGTCTGCTGTGCGCTGCTCTGTGTGCTGTACGCTGCTATGTGTGCTCTACGCTGCTCTGTGTGCTGATGTGTGCTAACCTCTTTTCTGCTGTGCGCTACTCTGTGTGCTGCTGTGTTTCCTCAACCCCTTCTCTCCCCTCTTTCTGCCTTGCAGATGTCTGTCAGATCAAGAACTGTAATCCCAACAGCCAGTGTGTTCCTTCCGGCAACGCGGCTACCTGTGTGTGTAACCCTGGCTACGTGCTGCAGGCGGATGGCAGGACGTGCATCAGCGCCCCACCTCCACCTGGTGGGTCATGCAAGCCTGCTGTGCTGCCTCCAGTGCCGTGGCGTCACTGCTATCATGCGTTTCCAGTCCAAACTGTGATAGCGCATGCAACTGTGATCTAGCGCGTGCAAATGTCTGCTGCTGTGCTGCCTGCCTGCACCTGGTTTCTCTTCTGTCGTGCGTTCCTAGTTTCTCGCTTAAGTATCTTGTCTTGTCGTCTACAGTCCTGAAACCTTCCTCCTCCCTCCGAATCCTCTCTCCTTCCTCCTTCCTTCCCTCTCTCCTTCCTCCTTCCTTCCCTCTCTCCTTCCTCTTTCCTTCCCTCTCTCCTTCCTCCTTCCTTCTCTCTCTCCTTCCTCCCTCATTCGTCCCTCCTTCCTCCTTCCTTCCTCCCTCCTTCCTCCCTCCTTTCCTCCCTCCTTTCCTCCCTCCTTCCCTCCCTCCTTTCCTCCCTCCTTCCCTCCCTCCTTCCCTCCCTCCTTCCCTCCCTCCTTCCTTCCCTCCCTCCGTCCCTCCCTCCGTCCCCCCCTCCGTCCCTCCCTCCGTCCCTCCCTCCTTCCCTCCTTTCCCCCCCTCCATTACCCCCTCCTTCCCTCCCTCCTTTCCCTCTCCTTCCCTCTTTCCTCCCTCCCTCATCCCCCATCATCATCATCATTTGTTTTTCTTCCGTGCCATACTCGTCTAATCACTTCTCTCCGTGCTTCCTCTCAGATGCGTGCGCCGTCAAGAACTGTTCTGCCAACGATCCCAATGCTGGCTGTGTGAAGGACGCTCAAGGCGTGGCATCCTGTGTTTGCAAACCGGGCTTCCAGATGGCGAACGGCGTTTGCACTGGTACGTTAATCTCGTCGCCCAGTTGTGTAATCACTCTCGGTTTGCTCCCTCCTTCCCACTCCCCACGGGCTTCCAGATGGCGAACGGCATTTGCACTGGTACGCCTAATCTTTCCATTTCACTCCGACTAGTCCTATTCACAGTCTATCTCTCCCACCTCCGTCCCTCCTCTCTCCTTCCCTCGCCCATTCCCTCCTTGTTTGATCTCAGTTTTTCCTTTAACGTCCCTGCTTATTCCTCCCTCGCTTGGCCTCTTTCCCTTCAACCCCCCTCCATACTCCCTGTGCATGCCTCTACTCGCGCTCCTCTTCACTACTCTCCACTTGTTCACGTCCCTGTCTAAACCATCATCTCCCATTTTCTCCATTCCTCACTCCCCTCCCCCATCACTCCCCCGCCCCCAGACAACTGCAGGTTCAAGAGCTGTGTTGACTACAGCTACTGCACCAAGGATCAAACCACTGGAGCGGCGTCTTGCGCGTGTTACAATGGCTACACGATGCAGGCGGATGGCTCGTGCAAGAGTACGTGATGACACTGCTGTGTGCTAGTCTGTGTAGTTCTGTGCACTATTCCGTGTACTGCTGCGATTCCTTCTAAAATCATGTCTCCTCTCCCATCGTTTCTGCCTCTCACCTCTTTTCTCCCTCGCCCCTCTTTTCTCCCTCGCCCCTCTTTTCTCCCCCGCCCCTCTTTTCTGACCCTCCCTGCTTTTATGACGCTCCCTGCTTTTCTGACCCTCCCTCCTTTTCTGACCCTCCCTGCCTTTCTGACTCTCCCTGCTTTTCTGACTCTCCCTGCTTCTCTGACTCCCTGCTTTTCTTCTCAGCTGCCTGTGACATCCTGGATTGCGGCGCGAACAGCGATTGTTATACGGCTAACGGCCAGGCCACCTGTTTTTGTTACGACGGTTTCCAGCTGCAGGAGGATGGCAGGACGTGCCATGCAAGCGGTGGGTGATGCTACCTTGAATTGCTGCTGTGCTGCCTCTAGCACGTGACAGAGCTCCTGTTGTTGCAAAGTTTTCTCACACTTCCTTGTGCATCCCTCTTTTTATTCCCCCCCCTGCCTCTCCTGCCTTAATCTCATTTTCTGTTCAATTCTTACTCGGCTTGGTGTGCTACAGTGTCTTTGTCCCACTCAGGTGTAACACTATCTGTTTCTCTACATCCACTCACCCCTGGTCCCACTATTTCTGTCTCTCTCTGCTACATTCTTTCACCCCAACTCCTTCACAGATCCGTGCTGGTCGGGTCGCTGTATGGAATATGCCTTGCAAGCCTGTAGCAGAAGATGCGATCTGTCTTTGCAAATCTTGGGTCCCATACGGTTTCGAATACGCATTTGGATGTGGTAAGTTTCACGGTTGAGGTTTGCCTGTTGAGGAGTCAATGCTAATCGATCCATCTCTCTCCTCCAGAACGTGCAGAATGTCCCTCGTGCTAAGAGGCCCTCGTAATTGCCGTGGTTTCCTCCCCTTGTTTGGCTCTCCCCTCAACAGAAAGGGAGGTCTAGCCGTGAGGCACATCCACTCCTGTGACGGTCCACCCTGATCAGCCAGTGCCGTCATCCCTACACCTAGTCCCATCACCTAGGCTTCCGGCTGTTTATTTCATGCAAAATAGGGCACTGTGGGCCAAGAGACTGAAGACCTGAATTGCGTGCATCATGACCACCCCTGCTTGAGTGTCTCCGGGAGGGAGGGGAGGATGGAGAGGAAAGGTTTGCCACACGGGGGGCGAGATCTCCATGCACCAGGGACCAGGGTACAAGGCATCAGCTGGATTCACCGCGGCACAGCTTCTTTTCTTGTTTGTTGGCTGATTTGGTCAATTAATTGTGTGTGTTGGTTGGCTATGTAATTTGATTTTGTTTGTTCTTTGTGGGGCTGGTTACAGCTGTAGCGTATCTCAATAAGGGATTGTACCCCTCAGAGTACATGACTAGCTTAAAACTCTTGCTGTGCTTCTATATTTAGCATCTGTTTGTTGTGTCATTTTTTTTTTTTTTTTTTTTTTGATTGGTGATTGTTCTGATTCACGAGCAAGATTTGCCAGCAGCATTGCAGTTGCTGATTTTCAACAGCTGCAATCATGCCGTTACTAGAACTTGGAAGAACATATTGTCTTGCCTTCCCATTTGCCTTCCCATTTGTCATGCAGTGTACACGCTCTAATCTTTACGCATGAGCTGCGGATGCTTAGGATCTCAGCCCTTTCATGTACAGTCTTTTCCTGGATATATAAGACCCTCCGGGCTTCCTATAAGAGAGTGCCCCGGTTATGTAACTGTCAAGAATAGAACTGGGAATGATGGATTGGACTAGGCAAGAGGTGAGTACAAGTAGGGGAAACCTAACCCTAAAGTGTTGTACTCACTAAGGATTGACCCTACTGTAGCCTAGAGATACAATTGGAATCTGACACACCCCCATAGGCAAAGTAGGGGACAGCAAACACAACAAGCGGTCACAAGACCAGTCTGCAGAAGAGAACACAGCTCAGGGTGGATCACAAAGTCACCACGCATTCTGAGCACAAGCAAGTGGCCACAAGGCCAGTTCACATGCAGAGGTATATAATAGCAAGGCAGTATACTGATCACAACCTAGCAAGAGAAAACATGCAGGTATAAAGATATATAGCAGTGTACAACAAGAGCAAGTCAAGCAACCAACAGGTGAGGCAGAGTGGGCACAAGCCCAAGAGCAGTGCAGAAACGGTGATGATCACCAGCCCCAAGGGCCTTGGTGAAGACATCAGCAGTGTTGGCCCGAGAGGCCACGTAAGCAGCTGACCACGCTGCTGCAGCTCACGCGCAAGGAAGTAGCGAAGAGCAATGTGCTTCGTTCTGTGCTCCAGTCTCTGCTCGCGACACAAGGAAAGCATTGCCTTGTTGTCGACGTACAGAACTGGAGGAGAACGAGGCCGCTCCCCCAAGTCGGTCAGCAGGTAGGTCAGCCAGCGTAGCTCCTGTGCAGCCATGGCCCCAGCGTAGATCTCGGCCTCACAGCTGGAACCAAGCACAGAAGAAGAACGAGTGGACCTCCACGAGACAGAACCAGCGCCAAGACTGAAGGTGTAACCCTGTGACGAACGCTGAGTCGTCTGGTCGTCGGCCCAAGAAGCGTCAGAGTGTCCTGTGAGGACCACCGAACCCCGTCCTCCAAGCACGAGCCCCATGCCCAATGTGCTGCACAAGTAACGCAGTACCCTCTTCGCAGCATCAAAGTGCACCTTTCGGTGTCGACCAGGTGCCACGTAGCGAGCCAGGAGGCTGAGAGGGTACGCGAGGTCAGGTCGTGTGCACGTCATCAGGTACATGAGGCAACCCACAAGCTCTGGGTACGGACCACTCGGCTCTACGGACTCGTCCGAAGGTGGAGCTGAGAGCGAGTGGCCGGTAGACAGAGGAGTGGGCTGTGGCGAGGACCAAGTGAAGCGGAAGCGCTGAAGGACCTGGTGCACCATGTGTGACTGAGTGAGGGTGATGGTGCGCCGTGGTCTGTCCCGGGTGATCTGCAAGCCAAGATAGCTCCGCAGCTCACCCAGGTCAGTGCAGGTGTGTCTCTCCTGCAGCTCCGCCTTCACTAGGGCCAGTGCCTCAGTGTCATCAGTAGCAAAAACCAAGTCGTCGACGTACACGAGGATGTAGAACGGCAGCAGAGTAGTGTCGGTGCGTAGAAACAACGACGAGTCAGCAGTCGAAGGAGCAAACCCAAGAGCCGCAAGTGTCGTCCTCAGTGTGTCGTGCCACTCACGGGGCGCCTGACGCAGGCCGTACACTGGTCGCCGTAGGCTCCACTGGGTACCCTCAGGAAACGACCCAGTGAAGCCCTGTGGACGGCGCAACCAGATGGCCTCGTGAAGGCTACCCTGCAAGAAAGCTGTCGAGAAGTCGAGGAAGTGCAGCTCGTAGTCACGCTGAGCTGCAACGTGTAGCAACACCCGAAGAGTGGTCATCTTCGGGGTGGGGGAGAAGGTCTGAAAGAAGTCGACCCCCTCACGCTGACTGAAGCCTCGAGCAACGTAACGTGCCTTGAAGGCAGGCGGAGAACCCGGCGGCCGCTTCACCCTGAAAATCCACATGCCACTGACGATGTTCGCCCCAGGTGGGGGAACCTCGTCGACATAGGTGCCTGTGGACTTCCAGGAAGCCATCTCTGCGTCCATGGCTGTCTGCCACTGAGAGGAGTACTCACCCGAAATCGCCTCCCTGTAGGAGCGCGGGGTGGGGATGTCAAGTGCATCCGGGTCTCCCTCAGGGGCAAGCAGCATGGTCGCGTGATGGGGTGAAGCGGCAGCAAGGCACTCCAGCTCCTCCTGTCTGTCCTCAAGAACGTCACAGCCAAGGGCACTACAGCCAAGAGCAGTCTCACCCCCGACGGACGGAGGACAGGCAGGGACAGGGTCAGAGACAAGACTCGCAAGGTAGTCTAGGCGGTACACAGCAGCAAAGTCAACAAGCTCAGCTACTAGGGCAGACGCAGCAGGAGACGAGAACGTAGGGTCCGTCACAACCGTAGCAAGAAGGCGAGTAACAGTCGGACTGGACGCACGAGCAAGGTCAGACGGAGGGTCAGCAACGTCAGGCAGAGAGGACGCAGGAGGTAACGGTAGTACAACACGCTGAGGAACAGAGGAAGGACGGAGTGTCATATCGTGAGTGCCGGGGACAGCCGGAGCACGCAGACGACGAACACGAGGAACACGAGCACGGACAGCAGCTCTAGGCTCAGGCTCAAGGTCAAAGCTAGTCTCAGGCTCTCGACGCTCAGGGGTGGAAGCACGAGTCTCAGGCTCTCGACGCTCAGTCAGGGACTCTGACACCGCAGTGTAAGGAGCAGGAGCAGGCAGTGGGGAGTGTGGTAGCAGCGGTGGCTGTGACTGGTCCGCTGGCGGACACAGCAACGGAGGAGTAGTACCTGCCACAGGGAAGCCAGTAGCACCTGGCGGAAGACTGAGAAGGTGGCGAAGAGCACCAGTAGCTCCCGTACCTCCAGCACGAGCAGCTCCTCCAGTACCCCCAGCAAGACCTCCAGCACCAGTAGCACCAGCACCTCCAGCACCACGAGCTCCGACAGCGCCAGCACCTCGAGCACCAGTAGTACCTCCAGCACCTCCGGTGCCTCCAGCTCCAGCTCCAGCGCCTCCAGCACCAGTAGTACCTCCAGTACCTCCTGTGCCAGCAGCTCCAGTAGCACCTCCTGCACCTCCAGCACCAGCAGTACCACCTGCTCCGGCAGCTCCAGCACCTCCAGTACGAGCACCTCCGGGACCAGTAGCTCCAGCACCTCCAGGGTCAGCAACTCCTGCAGCTCCAGCACCAGGAGCACCAGCACCTCCAGTGCCACCAGCTCCAGTACCTCCAGCTCCGGCAGCAGCTCCAGTACCCCCAGCACTAGCAGCTCCAGTACCTCCTGCACCAGCAGCACCTCTAGTACCTCCAGTAGTACCTCCAGCACCTCCAGCAGTACCTCCAGCACCTCCAGCACCAGCAGCACCTCCTGGACTAGTAGCTCCAGCACCAGCAGAACCGTACCCTCCACCACCAGGACTGCCTCGCAGAACGACCCACGCACGAATCGCCTGCGGCGAGAGCGTCTCAAGTAGAGCAGGCTGCGGTGGCTGTCCAGTTCCAGTACCTCCAGTAGTGGTAGCTCTAGCACCTCCAGCACCAGAAGCACCTCTAGTACCTCCAGCTCCAGCACCTCCAGCACCAGCAGCAGCTCCAGTACCTCCAGCACCAGTAGTACCTCTAGTACCTCCAGTAGGACCTCCAGGCCTAGTAGCTCTAGTACCTCCAGCTCCAGGACCTCCAGAAGGACTCGCGGCACCCCCAGAGTCAGCACCCGAAGTCTCAGCACCCCCAGAGTCAGCACCCAAAGTCTCAGTACCCTCAGTCCCAGCACCCTCAGGCTCAGCACCCTCAGTCCCAGCACCCTCAGTCTCAGCACCCTCAGTCTCAGCACCCTCAGTCCCAGCACCCTCAGTCCCAGCACCCTCAGGCTCAGTACCCTCAGTCCCAGCACCCTCAGTCCCAGCACCCTCAGTCTCTGCTCCAGTGTCCACAGCAGTAGGCTGCAGAGGCGGCGAAGACGGCAGAGGCGGGAACCCGGGGGGGGTAGCCAGACGAGGAGAGCGGGCACCCCCAGACTCACCACCCCCAGCCCCAGCTCCAGTAGTCTCAGCTCCAGAGTCCACAGCAGCAGGCTGCGGAGGCGGCGAAGACGGCCGTGGCGGGAAACCCGGGGGGGTCGCCAAGCGAGGAGTGTGGCGAGTGGTCGCCGTGTCGTCGGCGACGGCGTCACCCCCCTCAGGTGAGTCAGAGGAGTCAGAAGAGATCTCAACTGG